AAACCAAACTTTTAACTTCTGTCTTCATAGCATCAGTGTATTACTTGCTCATGATAATTCTTTTTGTTCATCTTCAGGTTACTTAGTCTTCTTGTTCAGCTGCTGCCTGTTCCTGCTTCCCATCCCTAAGGCTTGGTCGTCTGCTTAGCTACCCCTCCTTTGGGATGGTTCCATGTATTGCTGAAATGACAGATGTGCTGTGAGTGAGTGGATGTTCTTACGTTTTCCTTTATTTAAGTTTTCTTCTTCTGAACCAATTGAAGCATGGGAACTAGACGAAAAAATTTAAGTGTCCTCATTTAAAATAGATATAGCTTCTGCTGAATGTCACTGTAATTTCCCTCATTCTATTCTCTGTTTAAATATCTTCCAGGGAAACAAATGGAATTGGTACTTTTGAATTATATCCTTGGGTTCCTTCATGAGTTCTTCACATTTACATCTTTCTACTGATGATTATGAAGCACCACAATTAAGTTAAAGAGTCCCTCAAACACAGCAAATGCTGTGCTGGATGCTTTTACCAGTTTTGTCTTTTGACAAGCTCAGCTAAACAACGACACGATCCACATTTCATTTACCAAAGCAGGCATTCTTCTTGAATGCTTTCAGGTGATACTTTCACATTTATTCCTCTTAACAGAGTTATCTGCATCAGCCAACTGAAGTTTCATCTCTTTCTCCTGGACTTTCTCCTTCTTTCTTCTCTGTGTCTCTTCCTGTGTTTCTTTGACTGTCCCGATTCACTCCATGCACACTGCTTTGTTTTTCTGGATCTTTCAGATGAGTTTTTTTGCTTGGCAGATTCATGAATGCTGATTTATTTTAGCTTTAAACTCAGAGATCCATTACTTGACATCTGCCTTGGTGTACCATGTTGATTTTCTTCATCTCTGGCATCTTTGACCTGCTGGGGTCAAAGACCCTGTTATCCTGCATACCTTAAGTGCCCACCTGACAGTTTTAAAGGAAGTATTTTTCAGCACTGTGCAGCCATTGTCACTACAACCATCTGTTTATTTTCTTGGATGGGGATTAGATTGTTTGAGTAGTAGGAGGAAAGCGGATCATGACGTTGACTTTTCCGTTCACCTTTCATGTCTGAGGCCTGTGACAGACATCTCACACTTCTTCCTGTGCTGCATGGACTCATAACCTCTGTGTGTGTAGTGTCAGTGCCATTTTGCCCTAGAGGTCATCTTGGAGCTTATAGTAATTCAGTGAGATCATTGAGAAACTATGCTAGTCTTTGGAGTAGTCTTTGGAGGAAAATATGGCTTAACTGCTTGCTTTTTTAATCTCATAATCTACCAAAAATTCTTGAAAAGCCATGTGAGAAAATTAATGGCTCTTATGTAGTGAATTATGAGCATACATGCCAGCTTGGGATAACAAATGTTGAAAATGTGTAGAAACACAGGTTAAAGACATTTGCATTAAACAAGTTTTTGTTTTATCGGAATCTCTAAGAAGCATTTCAATGCATGTCTCTACCTACAAAGAGTTTTTCACTTTTTACATAATAAATCACAGCAGAAATGTCTTCAGATGTTCATGTTTAGTCTTGTAGGAGGCAAAGGTCTGCTGTTTGCTAGGACCCATGCAGTGCAATTTACTTTCCTTCAGTTTCTGGACTGTTATTACTTGTTATCTGGTGATGCAGAGCACTGGATTTTGGATTTTATGAATCCTGGTCCTGCATCCTGAGGTCAGAGGGTCCATATTGTCTGCTTTTTCTGTCACCACTGGCTGTCCGTTGGAGGCTGGGTAAAGTGCATATAACCTCACTCTTAACATTTAGCCATGCAATTGACTGCAACAGCCTGTGCAGTGTTCTCTGATTACCTGTGGAGTCTCTCTGTCTTTCCTCTAGAGTCAGGAAGAGTGTAGCACTTTGACTTTCTCAAGACCCAAGCCATGGAACCTCATCACTCAGAGCTTCAGAAAGGAAAGCTCACACACAGAGGCACACAGAAGCCAGAAACGTAGTAAATTGTTCAAATTTTGAAAGGAAGGAGAAATGATTTTACTGTTTTTCATCATGTAATCATCACATTATCATCATCGCATGATATTCATCATGTGCTTACATATATCAGCAGTAGGTTTGGATGTATTGCTAACCAATAGAAGGCTTTGTAAAGGGAACCATTCTCTTCCTTGTGCCGTGGTTGGTCATCTCCCTGCACCCAGAGATCTGGACTGGTACATGTCCGTGATGATGCCTGCAGAAAAGAAGTGCTTTACCTAATTAGATAAATAATAATGCATTTTATTTCAATCTGGGGATATCTAGGGCAGCTGTAAATGACCTGACAAAGGAAGCACCCTTCTCTTCATGATATATGTACGGATACCATGTATTTCTTCCTTATTCTGTGAGATTGCCCTCTTGAATTCATTCCCTTTGTATCTCACACAGCTGCGTGACTCCTTGAATGCACACGCACTCCCAGCCCTCCCCCAGACATCTGTTCTGCTTCTCAGCACCAGGTGCCAGAGTCTGAATGTGTTGGGAGGAGGGGCAAATTCTACCAAAAAAAAAGTGAAAAGGCCATGATATTTTTGACAGTATTTGTAACAGTATTTTTTTTTTTACTTCTTTTTTTAAAAAGAACCCGAAAGTTGTTAGCTAAAAATGCAGGTTTAATAGTTTTAATCTGGAAAAGTAGTATTACTTAATCTGGAAAATCCAGTATTAGATGTCGAGGTTGGCAGCCCTGCCTGCGATAGGGGGTTTGGAGCTTGATCATTCTTGAGTTCCCTTCCAACCCAAGACATTCTATGATTCCATAAAAAGGTCAGGGCTGGGGAGGGAATGCTACTTTCTGGGAAAAGTATTTTCTGGAAAAAAAAATCCCACTGTGATCATGCTAATGTAGCATCACAGAACATAGCAAAAGGCCATTCCAATTGTAAACTTGTATCTAATCTTGTATTATTTTCCCATGTGGGAATACACTTCATTAGAGACACAACCATACCTTCATCACAAAATTTTGGTTGGCAGAACTTCAGTGGTTTACTTCTACTTGAAGAATGTCCACCAAGTGAAACATTCCTGGCATGCCCCGGGGTACCTCAGGTTTCCAGAGATCTCAGATGGTCAGTACAGTCCAGGGTAAATTCCAAAATGTATGCTAGTGTAGACATGCAGAAGTGCGCCTGTGTTTTGCAGGGGCAGAAGCAGAAAGTGTTTGGACATGGTGCATGAGAAGTACAGCCAGGCCGTTCCAGTATATTGCCTTCCATCCAGGCATTTTGCTTCTCTTCCACTTTTCTCTGTGCAGATAGATAATGTATAATGTAAGTGTAGGCGTAAAATTATGGAATAATTGGGATTTATTTCAGTGGCTATGGTCCAGTTTACAGAGTGAACAATAAGAAATGCAGTGATTCCATGCTGAGTTAGGGAAAATCAGATAAAATTAATCTTTGAGAACAGAACTTTTGAGGAATGTGAGTATGGATTCAGACCAACTCCTTGAGAATTGGTCCAGAAATGGCTATTCATTATACCTGTACTCAGGAAGACCATGAATCACTGATTTCTGATGTCTCAAGTCTGTCAATGGTGACTCCATACATACAGTCAAACAGTCATTAAGGCTGGAGAAGATCACTAAGATATCTATTCCAATTGCCAACCCATCCCCACTGTGCCCACTAACCACATCCCTTAGTGACACATTCACATGTTTCTTGAACACCTCCAGGGACGGTGACTCCAGCACCTCCCTGGGCAGCCTGTGCCACTGCCTCTCCGCTTTTCATGAGAATTATTTTTTTCTAATATTCAACCTCAACCTCTCCTGGCGCATCCTGAGGCCATAAGAACACATGTTTCTTATGTTCTTTCTTTACACATCTGCTATTCACTTCTCTTACAGTTAACATGCTCAGCTAGACAGTCTTTGCTTTAGTCAGTGCTTAATGGCTGTAAAGATGTAGCTTAATTACTTGATGAAACTGTGAGACTTTCTCCTACATTTTCAGGAGAATTCCCAAGCTAGCCAAACCTTTTGGAATTTCTCAAATCCAAAGCTAATAGACAGGATTGCAGTTAATAAGAAAACATTTACTGAAACTGAGTGGCTTGTTTATGAATTGTATGCTCTGTAATACATGCCTGAAAAGGACAAAATTGAATGGAGAACCTCTAAACCTCTTTTACTGTGGAATTTGTCTGCCCTTGGTAATGATGCTGTTTGCCCTCGTTGTTTGTACTGATAAATGTCCTTGCATGAATAAACTTGTAATGCATCTTGTTTATCTTTCTAAGGCCAACCCTTACAGCTTTCATTAGTATTTTAGGATATTTATGACTTCGTAAATGACTTAAAATCTGCAATTTGTCATTAGGAATTAAGACACATCTTCCTTCTACGTAGAGCTGAAGCTTGAACTGTGGCTGTGGAGGGACTGAGCCACCCCTGGGTCTGGCAGACAAAAACAAAGTGAGACAGTGCCCAGATTTACAGCAGCAAGTGGCTCTTAGTTACTCAGATGTCTTTGATAGCGTGTCATCTGCTGTTGCTGGTAGGGATCAGTGTTTAGGATCAGAATTAATTTCTAGCTGGAGAGAAAATAAAAGTCTTTCTCCTTCAAGAGCAAATAGAATTTTAACAGAGACAGAAAGGGAGAGAAATGGACATAGTGCCAGGCAGATGTAAAAATGCTTTTATATACTGCATGTACACACCACAAAGGGTAACAGGGGGAAAAGTGCTGTTAAGAAGACACTGTATTTCCCTTTGTTGTACTCTGTACTTTCAGCCTTGGAACAATGGAAGTTAAGAGAATTTTTAATGTTTCTGAAGGGAATTTATCATGTAATTGGTGAATGGCTGGAGAGAGTTGGTAGGGGAAGGATAATAATCAAAAGAGCCTTTTCAGCAGTCCAGCAAATCAAAGAGAGGAATGTTAATTGGTTTGTATAACATATTATTGGTTCAGAGTAGCTTTGAACACTCATTTGAGCTTTTTTTCCTTCTCTGCAGGTTGATTAAGTGAAGAGAAAAAAAAAAAACAAAAAAACACAACGAAGCTGCTTCCAAGTATTGAAGATACAAGGCCAGGATGAACCCGAAGGACTCAAAAGTGTCTGAAGGAGGTCTCAATGTCACACTTACCATACGCCTTCTCATGCACGGCAAGGTGAAGTATTTCCTGTGGCCGCAGCATTTGCCTGTTTGTTGAATGTGTGTGTGCCATCAGAAGCTGGCAGTGATACTGGCAGAGCTCTGCCTCTCCTCTTGTAGTTAGAGTCAAAAGCGCCATTACTGTGACTCAAAAATCAGCCCCTTTACTTCAAGTTGTTATATGTAAGGATGCTCTGCAGCCCCATTTTGGGGACAGAACAGGTCAGGGTTCAAGGTCAAGCAGGATGGGGCTCTGAGTACCCTGATCTAGCAGTGGATAGCCCTGTTCACTGCAGAGGAGTTGGACCAGATGACCTTTAAAGATCCCTTCCAATTCAAAAGATTCCATGATTTTAACCTCATGGGAAAAAGGCTTGCTTATCACAAACCTGTTTTGAGCAGTTCTGGTAGCAAAAATGAGTTCTTCTATGGATGTTTAGCCAAACTAGACAAATCTTTGCTCGTCTTTCTCGTCATTTGCTGGACTTCACAGGTTGTGTTTTTTTTAAGGTATCCCAGCATTGATTTGAGTGAAGTAATTGACACAGAATTACTGAATATTCCTGTTGAATTCAAATGGAATAGCTCTTTGTTATTCTCATGTAGCATCTTATTAGAGTGAACCCTCGATATAACAAGCATTTGTCCAGATTTCCTGAGGGTTTGTTTTGGAAGGTTGACTATAATCTCATTTCTGTCCAGCACAGCACTTAAACACACAGATAAGTGTGAAATCTGTGCCATAGACAAAGTGCCAATTCAGTATTGTCAGACTTAACAGTCTGATAGCTGTTTATTGCACGTTATCAGATCACAAAATGAGCTTTTAATTAAAAAACACATTTCACTGGTTTGTTTGTATCATTTGGATCAGCCACACCAAGCATTTTTGGTTTAAGGAATGAATGCCATATAAATCAGACAGTTTCGGCTCTTTATTAACAAGGGATAGTGAATGTATGTGTGTACTATTCTGCAGATCAAATTTATATGTGTAATTCTAAAATCTAGTTTTACTCCAGGAATTTAATTTAAAAGCTAAAAATATATTTACATTTTGAAAGCATGTTTCCAACCTATTCCATGAGCCCACATAAATAGGACATTAAGGTATCTCCTTAAGTATTTTACTTATGGAAATGATAGGAAATATGAGGGGAACAGTTTAAATTTTCAAATTAAAAGCAAACAAACAAAAAAACCAGAATTATAGTATTACAGATCAAGTTATGTATTTTCTCTGAAATGGGGCAACCATTTTGGTTGATATTTTTCCCCAAAAATACTCAGCCCCAGGCAGGCATCCGGTATGTAAAATCTGCATCTTAAACAAGGATCTGTCAAACAAATTTAATAACATTCTTTTACTGAGCCCACCGAAAACCATGTCCATGTCTGCACTCAAAATAGGGGTCAGTTGCACTGTGTTCTGGTTCCCAAGTCAGAAAGGCATGGGAACACATCCATATTCTGATTGGCATAACCTACTGGCTTCAGTCATACTCGTATATGCTTAGAAGTTCTTTTTATTTGTCACTGCCAAACTGCTCTGCTTCTTTCGGAGTCCTGCCATTAAAGCGAAAATCAAGTATCTGTCATTTTTCAGAATGATTTAGTTAAGATGTGGGCTGGAGTTTTGTTATTTTGTGGTTTGATGGTATTGTTTTCTTTTCATGAAACAATGGATACATTAATGAGAAAGAAATTAGAGCTAATTTTCTGTGTTAAATATAGTTGATTGTGTATGCAGTCACTTTTAACAGCATTGGATGTTGTGTGTCCAATATTCAGTGCATGTTTAGCCCCAGGGGTTTAAATTAAACCCATAAAAGCTCTGAAATTCAAAGCCTAAGTGGGAGTATACCATGCATCCTCAGCTAACAAGGCACAATGGGTATACCATTAACTCCAGTATGCTCTAATCATGTGTCCAATTGTACCTAAAAATTGCAAAGAACACACTAAATTAGGATTTATTTTGGTGATAAAGACAAAACCTTATGGTTCCTGTGATATCATTTCTGTGATTTAAAAATGCTGATATTGAGGAATGAAGGATCTTTGATTTAATCTGAATTCAATATGAGAAGGTTGCTCTGAAAGCTGTATTTGCTTCTGAAAAACAAGAAGAAACATGCTGCTTTGCTCTTCCTTAAGATTTTTTGTGGTAATGACGCTGTTGGAAATCGCTGATCTCTAATTAGTATTTCTAGACAAAATAATTAACTGAGACTGAGCTTGAGCTGTAAATAACTGGTCATAACTTGAAAGAGGAGAGGGGAATTAAAAAATTTTAAAAATAACAGTGGCAAACTGCAAAAATTCAAGGAAATATAATTCTAAAATCAGTGTTTTTTTAATGCATTTCATGGAAATACCAAGCTCTCTCCCCACTAACTTTGATTCTGTCTCTAAATCTCTGGTACTTGTGAACTTTCACATGGTGAAAGGTCTGTGTGCTTTATGACACCTACGTTCCTTATCATGGGAAGTTCATAACTTGCACTCCTATGCTCAGCTATCTCAACTGTAAACCCTGCAGAATTAGGAAATTTTCTGGTGTACTTTCCAGGTGATTTGTACGTGAGCATTATAGTCAAGTATGGACATCTTAATTATGTAGTTAAGGTAAGTTCTGTCACGGTAGTGTACCTGCAGACAGAAAAATTGGGATTTATATGAATGGACAGGCCTCTATAAGGAGGTACTGAGTGAAAGAGTCAGCGTGTTTAGAAACAAACAGTGAAGCCAGAAAAATCAAAAAGAACTTCAATATCTAATGAAAGGAAAGCAGACAGGAGCCATCTTGACCCTGGGATAAGTGTTTCTAGGGCCTAATATGAGCGGTTTCCATCTCAGCCAGAACTACAGGAAGTGTGTGCTGGTGTAAGGTGAAAGGTGTAATTTCCATCCTGTGCTGTGTTATCTCAGGAACAAAGACTAGAGTGGGTCAGCCTTGGAGAGAAACCAGTAGCAACAAAACATTTCTCAGGCTTTCTCACAGTGTAGTAGAGGAGGGCTTTTTAGGGAATTTGATACATGAGAAGTTGCTCTTCACATCTGCAGATAAGCAGTTGTCTTTGTTTGAAGGGAGTTTGGAGAGAGACGTTAGGAAGAATATATTTGGATGCATGAAGAGGGGAGCAGGCTGTCTGGACCTGCCGCAGTAGCCTTCAAAAGAAACTTTTAAGGACAGTATAGACAAAAATGAATAAAGCTGCAATGGCACTGCATCCTCTGCTGCTCAAGACATTGTTGACTGAGGTACCTGAATGCAGGAACTGTGGAAACTTTTGAAGTATGTGCAGGAACTACACATGTCGAGTATGTTAAATAATGCAGAGACGCGTTTTCATCTCTTATTAATGACAAAGATGTACCACATTAAGAGCTAAAAATGTTTCATATATTTCAGTAGAGAAGAATGGTGAATATGGGCTGGGGCTGTTTACATTGTGCTGCTTCTGCATTTTCCATCTAATTCCTACTGTTTCTTGAAGTTAAACAAGTAATGTCAATCTGTAGGGCAGAAACTTGAGTGGGTATGAATGTTTTATCACCTCTGTTGGCATTAGAAGTAGAATTTCCGGAGAGGGTTAAAATACTGGAGTGACTGTTAGACTTCTGATTTCAGCAAAAGCAAAAATGGCACCATTTACTAGGATCAGGTCAACGTTTTTGAAGGGCTTTCTGGATCACAGATTGTGAGCATGTGCATTCATGTGCAAACAGTCCCCAGCTGTGAGAGCCCTCTGTAAGGAGAAGCAGAGCTCAGACTCCAAAAGAAAAGCTTCACTTTTTCTTTCTTTATTATTTTTGTCAAAATTGAACTTCTTTTAACTCTCTGCATGCTATTGGTTCTTTGAGGGAGCTTTCTTTCTCTCTTATCGTTCCTTGCTCACCTTTTACATACATTTTTTCTCCATTCTGTGACTTGCAATTGCTTGATTTTCTTTCTTACCACTAATAATGAGACTGGAAGATTATGGAATATTTTTGCTTGCCCACAGATCTCTACCTACTTACCTAACCTTTGCAGCACTCTTGTTCTAGTTTTGGTCAGTTCATGCCCAGAATGAAATAACCCAGAAGAAGCCCTTACTTTGATGGTACTGGATAATAATTACATTATTTTGGTGGGGTTTTTTAAATTTTTTTTCTGGTTTACATTTGTACACAACCAATATTGACCAGCTGATTATGACCCTGACTTACCATTAGAACTTAAATTTAGATGTAGATGGTAAAGAGGCTGTGCTGGTAAAGAAGTGTTGCATTTCAGGAAAGAATCTTCATGGAGATTTAAATGTTGGATGCATGAGCTGGAACGTAAGAATATACTCAAATGTGCCAGCATGAAAAGGGCAGCAAGATCATGAACTGATTTGGATTTACATATCATAGTGGTGGCACAGGAGTCTGTTTCCTCCCTTGAATACAAACCTGCAGAAGAAAAGGTACATGATTTCCAATGGCATTGTGCTAAGATATGTGGCTACAAAATTATAATGGGTGCTGTGAAGCCTGCAAGAAAGCAAATTGGAATATGTTGAGTTTGGGAAAGGTTTTAGAGAAAAGAGAAAGCTCAGAAATAGAAAACAAACTGTATTAATGAAGTCAGATGGGTTATGAAGAATAAGGAAATAATTTATAGACAGGATAAAGAGGGAAAGATAGAACTGGGAGGGAAGTAGGACTCTTGCCAGATACTGAGAGGTGTAAATGGAAGAGATGAGGCAACAAAGGGGAGAAGATAATTTAGAAGATACATGTTCAGTGAGAGGGGGAAATCTGGAAAGCATAAGCTTTGTTCAGACATTCTCAGAAATACTCGGAGAGAATAAATACAAGTAATGGAGTGCCAGTATTTTGAATGATGCAAGTACTTCTGGCTGGAAACAATGAGATATAATATATTTCTGAAAGCAAATCACAATAAGGGAATTAAAATAGAAATTTGTGGCATTGAGGTTTTTTTATAAGGTTCTGGAAGCCTTCTAAGTGGACTTCAAACAT